TGCAGTTTATGTCTCACTCAAATTTGTCCACACGCGAAATCAAGCCTGTTCCCTTCTGAAACCCCAAGCCCCACACCTGCCAACGTTGCCGCTCCGGCCTGTTGCTGGGAGAGAGGTGATCAGGAACCAGCCGGCCTTGTCACTGTAGGACCAGCCCCACGCAGTCTCAGGGTAACCGGCGAGGAAGCCGACCGCAAACGCCCTCAGAGGTTCCACACACTGGAGCCCGGGTGCGGGTGGGGGGAGCTGGGTTCAAAGCCAGCACCCGCTACTTCCTCGCTGTGTTACCCCAGACAAATTTCTCCATCTCTCTGGACCTCAACTTACTGCTCTGGAGATGCAATCATAGCCTCAACTTCACAGGTGGCTGGAAGGCTGAAAAGAACCAGCGTGTGGAGAGAGCTAGCACGGGGCCAGGTGAGCGCTCTGCAGATGCCGCCGCGTGGCCACCACACCGTGGTTCTGAAGAGGGGCTCTGGTCAACAGAGATCCCTCCGCGAATACAGCTCTGCGAATACAGGCCTCTACGACGACTCAGTGTCAACCAGTGCTCGAACCAGCACGTCCACACAGGGTGTCTCCCCCTGGGGCCAGGGAGGGTTGTCAGTGGTTCTCCATCCTTTGCTCCACCTGCGTGTCTAAAACATGCTGCCTCCTGGGACCCTGCGACTGTTTGTGGGGACAGATACATTTCGGTGCTGAGGAGGAGTCTTCCCTAATAATACCTTGGGTTCAGGCTCCTGCCTGCAGAGTCAACGATGGGGTTTCAATCCCCACGGGCAGGGAGACCCGTGTGCCCTCTGTCTCCCTGGACCAAAGCCGCTGCAGATTCCAGGAGGAGGAGGGGCTCCGTGCACATGGGCCAGGCCAGGAGCCAGGCACGTTTTGGAGAGGGGTTCCCCTGAGGTCTTCCCGAGATCTGGCTAAGGGGTCTGGGAGGGCACAGGGCAACGGGGAAGGGGACTCTCTAAGACTCCTGTGGTGACCCTGCAGTGGCCCTGGGGATCTTGTGTGGGTCCCAGTGTCAAGTGCACGTTGGTGCCTGAAGTGAAGCCAGTGGGGCAGCCGTGGGAACCCCCAGCCCTCCTGCTGAGGGCTGCTCCAGATACTGGAGGGGACCGTGGAGGTGGAGAACCCACGACGCCCAAACAGAGCCGAGCTGAGCGGAGCAGCCACTGAGGAAGGCGGCCACAGCACGCATGGCAGCGCTGACCACCGCCGGCCTTTGAAGAACAAAGGCAAAGGAAGCGGGCTGGCCAATGGGAACGGAGTGCTAACAATGCACCCGACAGAAATCAAAATTAGTTCTAAGCCAGCTCCCTCAGAAAAGCACAGGATCCTGAAGAGTAAAGCGAAACTACGTGAGGCCTTTGAATAGTGAAATTTGTACTTTCAAATGCTTTTGTAAAGTGATTTCAGTGCTCACGGAGATGAAGCCAACCGAGGCCCAGGGAGGCGTCTGGTCTTCAGGTGGCTCCATGGGTTCCCCTGGAAGCTGTGCCCAGGGGTGGGGAGGCTGTCGACAGCTGGGGGCCAGCAGGGGACAGCTCCCTCCCAGGCTGGAGGTCTCCTGGCTGTTCCAAGTCAAGTCAAGTGTTGCTTTTTTTTTTAGCCTCCCAACGCCAAGGCTGGAATTCAGGAACTAGCAGCAAACCTCCTGAGTCCAGACAATTCCAGACTCGGGCGGCAGTGCTGGATTTTCCTTGCTTGGCCTCAGAATCAAGCCCAGGGCCAGGTGCTGCCACCCCTCCACCCCTGGGGACCACCACTTCATCAGCGTCTCCTGGGAGTCCTTTAGGTGTTTCACTCTCCACCTGACTCTGACCAAGGAGGTGGCTGGCAGCCAGAGATGAAACTGCCCTGGGTGGAGAATGATACGGGACTGATGAGAGGGTGTGCGCTAGCTTGGGTCTGGTGTCAGGAGTCCGGCCAGGGGACTTCATGAAGGCCCCGAGAGGCAATAGGGAAACCCCAGAGGAAGAAACAGTTCCCAGGACAGTAGCCCCTGCCGCTGGCCTGAAGGGCCTGGGCACCTGGCGTCAAGGGCTGGCAGGAGGGGCCATGGCCACAGAAGAACACGGTGAGCTCCCAGGAGTCCAGTGCGGGATCCCAGAGCGAGCCACCATCTGCACCTCCCTCTCCGCCCCTCTGCCCTTGCTGCTGTCTCCACAGTCAGAATCCCCAGCAACCTAGGGCCGCAGGAGCCTGCTAACCAGACCCTTGAGCCCAGCCTATCCGGGCGGAGAGCGCAGAGGCGGCGGCGTGGACCTGGGGAGGCCGCTGGGCAATGTGCGGCCCAGGGTCGTTTCTTCTCGGCCTGCAGTCCAGTGCAGCCATCAGAGAACACAGCTTCCCGGGCCAGGGTCGGAGCTCGGCTCGCGGCGGGGGACGCACGTCTGAACAAAGCCTTCGTCCTCCGTGCCAACAGCAGGGCTGCAATTTAAAAAGCTTCGTTTTCAGGACTGGCTGTTTTTGATCTGTCTAACCTGGAAGGTACATTTTGGAGTCAAACAGAATGACTTAAACAAAGCGTTTCAGCGATAAGCACGGAATGTTTGGATTTCTAGCCTCCCTCTCAACCCAACACCTGCTCAGGATGTGAGGGCTGCTCTGCGGCCAATGCTTAAATCGCAGCCTCCCTCAGCGTGCACTTCCCCAGGTCTCTGCTCCTCTGGCCTGTGTCTTTATCTGGGTTTGCTTGTGTGCAGCCCGTGCAGCAGGGCTAATCTTCCCTCCGACTGGCCGGGAGCAACTATGCCATGGGCGGTGCTTCCCTCCGCTGACTCCTGCTCCCAGGTGTGGCAGAACCCAGGTCGGCATCAGTGTCCTTTACCAGCATATTTGGTTTTCATTCTGCCTCCCCCCGCCCTCAACCCACTTTTGTTTCCTCTCTGACTTAAGTGCTTCTCTGACACCATCTTCTAATCAGCTGAGCTTGTCCCATGCTCCAGGTCTCCACTTCTTCCTTTAATCATTTTCCTCCTGCCCTCACTTACCTGTCATTCAGTGTTTGTCTTCCTTGGAATAACACCAGCTTTGTACTCGCCTGGACAGAGGATGTCCCTGAGTGACAGCCGGGCCAGCTCCCCAGGCTGGGGGTACATGGGGGTACCAGGCTGGTGGCAGCTGACGCCTTGGCGGTGGCCCCTGGGCACAGAGAGCCAACTGAAATGGAAGGGCTACTTCTTCACAGTCCTGAAAGCAAATGGAGGGGGCAAGGCCCCATTTCCCCACCAGCAAAGAGGTCTATCAGCAGAGAGCGCAGCTCAGCTATGATCTGGCCCAGCTGTGCTCCACACAAATAAATAGCAAGTAAAATAATACAGACGTTCTGTCGTTCTGTCCAGAAACAGTGAGCTACAAATGTACCGGGATGATTCTATGCAAGTAACAGAATGGAGGGCAGGATGGGTGGCCCGGCCTTGTGTGTGGTGGGAAAAGGGGCAGGCATACGTGAATGTCACAAAATGACTTCACCTTTAGACGGTGGTGAGTTCAAGACCTCTGCTCAAGCTTACTGAGCAGTCACTAATTGAGGGCCAAGGGAAATGTGGACAGTACTCAATTTAAAGATCTATTTATTTATTTGAAAGTCAGAGAGAGAGAGGCCTTCCATCTGCTGGTACATTCCCCAGATGGCTGCAATAGCCAGTGCTGGGCCAGGCCAAAACTAGGAGCTGGGAGCTTCCTCCAGGTCTCCCACGTGGATAGTAGGGGCCCAGGTACTTGGGCCATCTTCCACTGTTTTTCCCAGGCCATAACAGAGAGTTGGATAGGAAGTGGAGCAGCCGGGACTTGAACCAGCAACCATATGGGATGCTGGCATCGCAGGCAGTGGCTTTACCCGCTATATCACAATGCTATTCAATCCAGTAGTACTCAATTTAACAACAGAATTCTCTAATCCCAAAGACTATGCAGCTGACATGTAAAAGCATGTGAATATGGGGAAAACTGCACTTCCAGGCCCTGGGAGTGGGCAGAATCGGGGCCACCATCTCAGGCCTTCCTGTAAAGAGACCAGCCCCAAGCCCTCTGCCCACTCCAACCTGCCAGGGGCCACAGGGCCCCTCTGGCGCCTCTGCCTCCGCGAGCTCCACGGGGGTGGGTGGGCATGCGCACTCCGCTAACGAGGCCGGGGTTCCCCGCAGCTGAGCAGAAGGCGCCCCTCAGAGACTGGCTCGCTGCGCCCTGAGAACGCGTGCGGCTCAGCAGACGGCCCACAGGCTCCCGACAGGGCTGGAGGTAACCGGGAAGGGAGAAAGATGTGGAAGGAGCTCCGTCAGCTCCAGTTTGAAAGCCAGACCCAGACAAGCTCACACCAGGTTTGCTTTGCCCCGCAGGCTCTCCCAAGAGCCGCACGACGAGGACGCGAGGCGACACTGGCGGAAGCACTCCTCAGTCTTCTCTACTCACCAGCGCCGCCTAGACGGGGCCTTGGCAATCAGCCGCGGGAAGGACGCGTGCTACCTGCGGCCGCCCAGTGGATTCGCGTGCAGGTGGCTCTGCAGGCCTCCCTGACAATCCCAGGGGAGGGGCTTGGAAGGAAGCTGAGCTACCTCTTTATAAAGGTACAAGCAAATGCCAGCTGTTTCCTCTGGACCTGCTGGGAAGTCAGGGGAAGCATGCCAGCTTGACCCCAAATGACAAAGTTCTTTACCCAGGCGGAGCGACGACACCTACAGTTCCAAGAGGAATGTCGTGTTCCTCGCTGCACCCAGCCTCGTGGCCCTTCCCAGAGACGTGCTCTGACCACCACAGCAGCGGGCAGAGCCAATAATTTGTAGAACTGCCTAGGGGACCTGATTACAGTCCTCTCCTGTTAGCGTAAAAATTAACGTGCGTGAGTAATGTCTCTGTTTTTATGAATTCTATCAACACATTTGAAATTTAGCAGCAAGTTAACAGTAATCAGATATAAAATCTCCTATTTTTCTACATTTAAAATAAGTTGTTTGAAACCACCCACAGCAACCTGAAATCACAAGAACACACAGGAATGCCTGAAGCCCTCTGGCAAGTTTATTAGTCATTTTCTAAGTCTCATAGTGCAAAGTGCACAGAACTACTGGGAACCTCCATTACCATATTGGGCCTCATGTTTCCCCCTATAAATAACTGTGCCTAAATATAAGAATCTGAAGTCAAACCGAGCAAGTGTGCCCACGGCCTTGCACGGAGGGCGTCCCCCACCCCCCAGCAACGTTGGCATTCACCAAGCTGACGCCGGCTGCAGCCACCGTCTGGCCTGCTGCTGGCTGTTCCTTTAACACCGCGCGCAGCAGTTCCCGCTGCTCCGGAGAGAACCAGCTTGGATTTTAAGTGGGCACATACACGCGCGTGGCAGGACTCCGCGGAGCTCCGAGGCTACAAGCTCAGGAGAGCGCTGTCCTGGTTCCCTCCTACCCCTCGTGGTGGCACTAGAGAGGGCGGTTTCTGTTCTGTTTCTGCACCGTTCAGCAGCGGAGGGAGCCTTACAGTTTCTTTTTGGTTTTAGCCACCAGGGCAGTGGATTTAGCGGTGACTTTGGTTGTGGTCCCTTGGCCTGAAGTCACAGGGCTTTTCTCCAGTTCAGCCTTGGGATCCGCGGGGAGGAGCTTGCCAGACGTGGAAGTTGAACAGCACGTGTCCGCGCTGTCTGTATTTGCCTTCTTACTGGTTGAAGGAGACTCCTTTGCAGAAGCAGTGGGCTAAAAAGAAAACAAGAGGCCTGCATTACTTCGCAGACACAAAGCAATCACAGCAATCAAAGCTAGGCACTGCAGCGCTGCCCAGGACTCTGCAGGCGTCGTGCGGCGCCCTCTACCTCCAGCTGTAACCCAGTCACACTGGAAGATTATCAGGTGCCAGCAGCAGCTCCCTTAGCACCTTCAGGCAAACTGCCTTGTTTAGCTCTCGGTGTGGAGCAAACTGCACAGGCTCAGTTTCAATAGCTCCACCAGGCAAAGGCAGAGCCAATGACGTCTGCTGCAGGAAGCCCACATGGACACACTGTGGGACAGCTCACTCCACTTCCCAGGGTTCAGGAAGCCCCGGCATTTGTGTGGACACCTTCGCTAGCACATCCTGATGCTTCTAACCTGCGTAGAAAGTTGCTGCGCCTGGGCCACTCTCTCATTCTCACCATGACTCCCGCATGAACTCCAGGACCACCTCCTACCCAGTCACACCACTGAGAGGGTGGCCATGAAAGTATCTTGTGAGCTCCATCAGTGTTGTGGCATAGAGGCGTGAGCCGGCGCCAGCAATGCCGGCATCCCAGACCTACCTCCCACCCAGCTCCCTGATGATGACCTTAGAAAGCAGTGGAAGAGGGCCCAAGTGCTTGGGCCCCTGCACCCACGTGGGAGAGCCAGATGGAGGTCAGGCTCCCGTCTTTGGCCTGGCCCAGCCCCAGCCACTGCAGCTTTCTGAGGAGTGAACCAGCAGATGGATCATCTCTCTCTGTCTCTCCCTCACTATCTGCTTTTCAAATAAATAAAATAATTTTTTTAAAAAAAATAAAGTCTTGTGTGAGCTTTGATGCAGAGAATAAGCAGAAAGGGTTTTAGCAGGCAACTGTGAGTCCTCAGGTCACCTCACTCCACAGCAGAGGAGGAAGCGGTTTTGAATGGTGCTGTCACGCAGGAGGCAGAGTCCGTCCATGTTGAGCTCAGGCCCATTTGAAAAGCGGTCCCTTCAGTCAGTGAAGCTCACTACAGTGTTCCCAAGGAGCGCAGAACGCTTCTGGAGGCCTCCAAAGCAGGACAGGGCCGAGGCCGGGGGACAGAGAGCAAGCTCCTCCGCTGAAGGGCTGGGAAAGTGCCCAGAGATCAACGCTCTGGTGGCCGGAGGTCACACGACGCTGGGACAAACAATCAGCGAACAATGTTCAAAGAATGTGAAAAGATTACAGGTACTGCGAAAGAAGTGAGTCTGGTGTTTCTTTGGCCATTAGGGCTCTTGTGTTGCCATAACCAGGCTTCGTTACACACAGGTGCTTTGTTGCCCACTGAGTAAGCGACTTCCCAGGGCACATAGCAACGCTGGGTCCTTTACACTTTTTGGTACCTGTACTTCAGAAAAGAGAAAACTGACCTGAAGTTTGTTTATTGCACACAGCCCTTAAATGAGTACCTCTTCAGAACACCCCTCATGGCTGACTTTATAACAGTGTATGCTAATTTTTGAGTGGGTAAACTTAAAAAGCATTTTGTACTGTAAAAAACTAATCTGTATAAATTTTGAAAGTAAAAAGCTCCATTTTCTAGTTTTCTTCCCCAAGAAAATGCCTGTCGTTCCTCCATGTATTCTTTCAAGAAGTAAAAAATATTTAAAATTCTTTAATATTCATTAAAAGTGGCTTTATCCTGTCACTGAAAACTCCTTATGTTCAACAAAAGGGTGAGGACATAACACGATGGATGTTCTGGTGTCTGGCTGGGGGCAAGTGGCTGTGCTCCCTAAGACACGGAACCACTCTTGGAAATTTCAAGTCATAAAATCTAATTAACTCTACATACACATGCAGTTAAAAGGTGAAGCTAACAGAAGGCTTCTCTCTTGACATTTCTGCTTGAAGTTTGAGTAGCGATCCAAGTAGCTGAGAAAATGTTTTTTTAACATGTCTACTACAACTCGCAGGAAGGGAAAGGCACGTTTTAAAGAGCTTGGTGTTCAGATCTGGCTCAGTGGTCGCGTTCTTACTGTTCCACTTGTTGATGGTTTGCAGCCACTACACTCAGAAGTTGCAGCTGCCAGCAACAACTACTCAGAAACAGTCTCAATGGGAAGGATGGGCGATGTACATAATTTTTTCTTCTTTCCAGGGATTCTTCATGATCTGGCACTTTCTTTGTGGATACACTAAGTTGAGCTAATTCTCACAATATTCTAGCTAAGTGGAAGGAAAAAGGAAACTAAATCAAAATGTTTGGTTGCTTCAGTGTAGAAACATGATGCTTGTTTCACTCCACTGCAAGACGAGACAATGAAATTCTTGCGCCATACGCAGTATTTATTCGTAGTTTCAGTGATTCGGTTTCTTAATAGGTAGTACATCCCCTGATTTAATATTCACAATGTTCAAAATCCCCTCATTGCCCCCGAGCTAGCTCTGTAGTCATCAAAGGCAACCAAAACTGTCCCTTTACAGTGTTCTCTGCTGGAGAGATCTCATGCACCTTCAAGCAGACAGAATTGGTTGGGGTTCCTCTGTCATTTCCACTGGTTGCAAGTCAGAGGTCAGAACAGTGATAATGGCAATCTCACGTCGTTCAACCTAATACACAGATCTACATATTTCCTCCCCCTATTTTTATATAAATGGGAGTCCCCTGTAAATATGCTTTATGCCTTGATTTTTTTCAACTAATGATTGCCTTGAATACATTCCATGTTAATCCACAGAAAGGGTACTCATTCTTTTTTTTTTCTGACCGTGCAGTATTCTCTTGTTGAGAGGTATGACAGGTACCATAATTATTCAGCCAATCCCTTCACAATGGGTATCCAGCTTGTTTACAATCTTTTACTACCATTTGTACAAATAACGCTGCTGTGAATAGTCTTGTACTTGTGTCATTTTGCACATATGTAAGTATATCTACATTTTGGAAATAGAATTTTAGATCAGAAGGTATATGTATTTTTGAATTTTAAAAGATATATCCATATTACCTTCTGCTTCAATTATACCAATTAATATGCTTACCAGTAGCATTATAAGAGTATTTTTTCAATTTATAAACATTTTTTGAAAGGCAGAGAGAGAGGAGGGGCAGACAGAGAGCTCCCATCTGCTAGTTTACTCCTCAATTGTCCTCAATGGCCAGGGGCTGGGCTAAATTAAAACTGGGAGCTGGGAACTCAACCCAGCTCTGCCAAGTGAGTGGCAGGAACCCAATAACTTCAGCCATCACCTGCTGCCTCTCAAGGTGTGCATTAGCAGGAAGCTGGAATCAGGAGTAGAGCAGGGACTTGCACTCAGGCACTCTAATATGGGTTGTAGGGTCTTAACTGGCACTTTAAATGCCAGGTCAAATGCCCACACCTAAGTGACTGTTTTCCCATTTCTGACAATTTCATGTTTAATATATGTTAAAACTAATACAGTCAAGGCTGGCACTATGGCATAGTGGGTAAAGACACTGCCTACAGTGCCGGCATCCCAAATGGGCGCCAGTTCGAGTCCCGGCTACTCCACTTCTGATCCAGCTCTCTGCTATGGCCTGGGAAAGCAGTAGAAGATGGCCCAAGTCCTTGGGCCTCTGCACCCAAGTGAAAGGCCTGGAGGAAGCTCCTGGCCCCTGGCTTCAGATTGGCATAGCTTTGGCTGTTGCGACCATCTTGGGAGTGAAACAGCGGACGGAAGACCCCCCGCCTCTCTCTCTCTCTGCCTCTGCCTCTCTATAACTCTGCCTTTCAAATAAATAAATAAATCTTAAAAATATGAATATAGTCAAATATATTTTAATTGATCTCTAAAAATGACCTAAAATTCACTGCACTGAAACAAACTGTAATATTTGTTCCTTCACTCCCTGGTGACATCAATGAAAATTACCTTCAGGCAAAGTGTTGACTGCAAATGCTTAGATGCTTCTGTGTATGTGGGTATACCCTGTAAAACGCTGCATGTGTGCACACCTTGCCATTTGTAGTTGCACCAAGTTTAGAATGCCAGTGTTTAGGAGGCAGAACCCTAGCAGCTTTCTTTCTTTTCTTTTCTTTTCTTTTTTTTTTTTTTTTTTTGGCCAGGCAGAGTCAGACAGTAAGAGAGAGAGAGACAGAGAGAAAGGTCTTCCTTCCGTTGGTTCACTCCCCTAATGGCCGCTATGGCCGGCGATGCACCGATCTGAAGCCAGGAGCCAGGTGCTTCCTCCTGGTCTCCCATGCGGGTGCAGGGCCCAAGCACTTGGGCCATCCTCCACTGCCCTCCCGGCTCACAGCAGAGAGCTGGACTGGAAGAGGAGCAACTGGGACAGAGTCCGGCACTCCTACTGGGACTAGAACCTGGGGTGCCGGCGCCACAGGCGGAGGATTAGCCTAGTGAGCCACGGCGCTGGCCCCCTAGCAGATTTCTAAGGATTCTGAGACTCCTCTCTTGAACATCTCATCGAAACCATTCTCTGATAGTAAGAGAACTCGGATGCAGGCGACCACCACAGCACCCATCAGGGAGAGCTGGAGTTTTCTTCACAAAGAACCAAGCCTCTCATCTCCTTGGAATATAAATGGCCAAGGCAAACTCCAGCTTCCAGACTTTTTCTAAGACAGTGAAAAAAAAAATCTTAATTTTTCAGGGATTTCTTTTGTTAGTTATAGATTACCTAGGTTTGGGGTTTCTCCTTTTCTTCTCTCATAGCTGGTGGGATTCCTCAGGGATCTATGCTGTCACTGATGCGATTTTACAGTTTGGTAAATAAAGGACAGAAAAATGAAGAGTGAAATTGTCAAGGCTCTGAGATCTTCCAGGTCATGAAAGGCAAACAGAAGGTGAGAAGCTCCCGTAAGATTGGACAAGAGAGGAGGAAGATGAAAGAGGAATTTCAATATTTGGGCTAAAGGGTAAGATTCTAGAAGACCACCCCAAGGCTGCTGGTCATCCACCTGTCAGTCCCACACAGGGTCGAAAGATCCTTGTAGGTGACCTCTGATGACGCCGCTCAAAAGTGCCATTTCACGGTGGTCAGGAAAGCTGGCTGCCATCAGAAGACATTTGAGAAATCAAAGAAAAAATTTTTTCTACCTTTATACAAAATTGTGATGAATTCATACTTGAAACAATGCACCCACCCTGAGCAGATATTAAGGACCAGAGAGGATTTACAGACAGGTTAATAATATGAGAAAGGAATGGAGGTTTCCTTGTAAGAGAGCTCTTCAGTCTAGAAAGATAAAAAATAAGAGGATACAAATACACACACACACACTCAACAGAGTGAGCGGATTTCAGCACCACGGAGTAGATGGCAGCTCTGAGCACTGCTGTGAGCCAGGACGGTCACACCAGGGGCTGCCCCAGGCAGCACTCCAGTTGTTCACCTTTGACACATTCTTACCACCCACAGGCAAAAGGACAGAAAAGATGACCTTACAAGGCTCCCTCCAGTTGCACCTTTCTGTAATTCAGTGCCCTAGGCCTGATTTCTCCAGCTTGAACAGGGTGAGGGTGGAGAAGGGGGCTCCGCGTGTGCAAGGAAAGATATGTAACAAGAAAACTGGGCCAAATATACATATTTCATTATTCACTGGCATAACCTGAACCTGATGAACTTATCTGGTGCTAATGGATGCAAAACCTGGAAGCTCTAGGCACATCCCTGTGAGTTAACACCAGTGCATGATGACTGCAAACTGTTACCATTTCTCTGAATTTCGAGTAAAATACATGCTATTTAAGTAAAGTGGTTTATCACCATAGCAACCACTTCTAGAGTCACACATTCAAATTATAGACCTGCACAAGGTCCAAATGACAAAATTCTGATGTAAGTTTTCTGCTATAGTTTTGCTTGCAATGGTAACCTACCCTCTCTCACATTCCTATGGTTTTCAGAAGGAAGAATAGAAAGAAAACAAAAGGAAATAAGAGAAAGCAACTTACAAACATATAGATTTCTTTATATTGGTTACTCACAAAGATATGCAATCTTGGGAGTTAATGAAAATAAAATTTACGTTGCAAATTAGAGAAACATGTAAATATCCTTCTCTTCTTTGTAACTAAGGTAAAATTTACATACAGTAAGATACTCAGATCTTAAGTATACAGTCTGATTAGTTTTGACAAGCATAGATCTGCATAACCAAAACCACAATCCAGAAATAGAACAATTTCCACTCTACTTGTCTCATCTTGGGTCATGATTGTTCTGAATTTTTAAGACAAATTATTTTTAAGACAAAAAATGACTTTCCAAAACTTCATAAGTCAAAAATGGCATATCTGACTTCTTTGCTTAACACTTTTAATAGAAGTTTCTATTGAGATATTTGTAAATTCTCATGTTATTAAAACATAGGTTTTTGGGATCCATCATGTGTCAGTAACTCACTTTTTCCTGTCAAGCAATATTCCATGGCATGGATATACCACATTTGTTTACTCATTCCTATTTAGCGGACATTTGGATTATTTCAGTTTGGAGCTATTATACATAAAGTTGGTATGAACACATGCTACAATTATTTTTGTGAACTTTAAATCTTTTTGTGAATTTAGGATTCCTGGATAAATGGTAAGTCAATGTTTAGTTTGATAAATGACTGCCAAATTATATTTGCATTCTTGCTACCAGTGCAGGAGAATTCCAGTTGTTCCATATCCTTGCCAGTATTTGGACATACCAGTCTTTACTTCTGGCAATTCTAGAAAATACATCGTGACATTTTATTGTCGCCTGAATTGACATTTTCTTGATGACGAATGCTGTTGAGCAGCTTCTCATATGCTTATTGGCTACTTGTATATATTTTTTCTTAAAAATATTTATTTATTTGAAAGGCAGAGTTATAGAGAAACAGGGGGAAAGAAAAGAGAGAGAGCAATTGATCTTCCATCCACTGGTTCACTCCCCAAATGGCCACAATGGCTGGGGCTGGGACAAGCCAAAGCCAGGAGCCAGGAGCTTCATCCAGGTGTCCCACATGGGTACAGAGGCCCAAGCACTTGGATCTTCTGCTGCCTTCTGAGGAGTATTAGCAGGAATCTAGATCTGAAGTGGAGCAGCCAGTACTTGAGTCCATATGGGATGTGAGTGTTGCAGGTGGGGGCTTAACCTGCTGCACCACAATGTTGGCCTCCCTCCTTCCCTCCGTCTCTCTGTCACTCTGCCTTTCAAATAAACAAATATATATTTTTAAAGCTTAAAATATATTAACTACAGGTTGAATATTCTTTATCTGAAATGCTTGGGAGAATATGCTTTATCTGAAATGCTTGGGACCAGACGTTCTAAGATTTTGGGATTAGGTATGCTCAACCGTGTGTTTATTCCCTGATGGAAAAAGTTTGCCAGCTCCTGCTATAGATAATCACTGATCTTCAAATATACATGTAGGCCACATTGTTGAATAATGGCAGCCTAAAAGCAGAAAGAGCTTTACTTGCCACAGAATGCAGGTCGGCTGTTACAAACTAATAACAAAAAAGACAGAGTTGCAAAAAATGTTTCAAGTGACTGAAACAACTGTTCCCCAATTTGTTTTTCGGGTCTTCTTACCTGTTTTTCTTCCTCCTCATCTGAAGTGTCATTGACATCATGGACATTTCCTTTGAGTTCATAACTTTTTGATTTTTCTTGAATGGGCCAATTATTCTTCTCACGTGCTGTGTTTTCCTCATCACTTTCTGGGTTATTTTTCCATTCTTTCATCATTTCTAACACATTGAATGGTCTCCCTGAGGAAAGTGTGTTGCCCTAATAATAACAATAAATGGTTATAAATAGCTTAGGCAATTAAAAAATTCTTACATATTTTAGTAATTTAAGTCCCCAAATTCAGAAAAATTCACATGAAAAAATGACAGTGCTGAATACATAGCAAAACTGCTGATGCCCACTGGGGGCACAATGCTTGTGTCCTGACATGGCTCACGCCTCTGTGTGATGTCCGTCAGCCAAAGTTTCAAGGGGAAATATCCAGGCTGGAAAGAGCAAGGCTGTACGCCTGAGCACAGGACACGGCACAGGGCAAATCCCCAGAGCATGAAGACCCTCTGCGGTGCTGCTCCTGGAACAGTGACAGGGAGGCTGAAAGGGTGAAAGATGGCAATGGATTGGTCTGGAAAAGTTCAAGATGATTGAATTCCATTGATAAGTCCAGTGTTGTGTCTAAGAATATAGATGTTTGATTGGAAAGCCCTTAGCTATATGGAAGATTTAGACATGAAGTGGCTGTTACAATTGACTCAGGGTTCTCATCCCAGATATGAGTACAGCCTGCTGACACTGGCCACTTAATATGAACTATATTTTCACAAACACAACATCCCATTTAAAGCGACTCCAACTTGACTAGGTATGTCTTAAATATTTTTGCTCCTAACTCAGAAAAAACTGGACAAGAAATTTGGATCACATTTCAATTAAAATAAGAAGTCTGGGTATGGGCACTGCTATGGATGGACCTAAAACTATCTGGTATGTGAGTAGTGTTCAGTGCTGAGCAACAGTCCACAGAAAACCACGAGGTGGGGCATTTTATTTTATTTGTGAAGATTTATGTATGTATTTGAAAGGCAAAATTACAGAGAGAGAGAGAATCACCCACTGGTTTGCTCCCCAAATAGTTCAGTGACTAGGGGTGGGACAAGCCAAAGCCTGGAACGAGCCAGGAGCTACTTCCAAGTCTCCCACATGGTGGTAGTGGTTTAGGGACAAGTTCTATTTTCTGCTGCTTTCCCAGGCACATTAGCAGGGAGCTGGATTGGAAGTTGTGGGGAGCAACCCAGACTAGACTAAGTTACTGGAATTAAGACTTATTCTATACATCTGCTCTCCCACAATATGGCGCTGAGAAGGGAGAAACAGCTTCTACACAGCTGCCTCCAGTTCAACCAATAAACTGTAGGACCTACTCCTGATTGGAGGAGAGCAGCGTACTCGGCGTGTGGGTAGCAGAGTTGGGATTTGTGGAAGAGGACTATAAAGGAGGAGAGAGACAACATGCACCGGGAACATCTATCTGAAGGAACACCTGTGCAGCCCCCGAGAGAGCCGGCCGGCGGTGTGCCACTCCCCCGCAGAAGTGGGGAAAGTGGCTAGGGGGAACCGCCCTTCCACGGAAGTGGAAGGGACGGTAGCCAACCCGGGAAGAACCAGCAGCAAACCCGGGGAGGGCCGAGCAGACAAAAGAACAGCGCAGGGTCCTGTGTCGTTCCTCCACGAAGACAGGGAGTGACATAATGGTGCCGTGACTCGGATATGAAGCCTAGGCAGGGTTTAGTGTCGTTCCTCCATGAAGAGGGGGAGCGACATAATGGTGCCGTGACTCGGATAGGAAACCTAGGCAGGGTTTAGTGTCGTTCCTCCACAAAGAGGGGGAGCGACATAATGGTGCTGTGACTCGGATAGGAAACCTAGGAGGGAAGAAACGGGAAGAAGTGGGAAAATACCAGAGAAAGAGACTAGCAAAGAGCCTAGGGAAAAGCCGGACAGAAAAGGTGCCAGAAGAAGCTATCGAAAGCCTAGGCATAGACTCAGATATGGACTATGGCGGGGAAGCTGGGAGAAATCTCTAAGGTTGAAAGCGAAAGTGAAAGCTAGAACAAACAGACTCGGATACGGACTGTGGGGAGAAGCCAGGAGAAATGAGAGGGGAATATTGTTGGAAGAAAAGTTAGGAAACATACCGGGTAGAGAAAAATATGTTAGGGAGGATGAAGCTGCGGGGGCAGGCCGAGGCGGAGACGTAAGCCAGCTTGGAATTCTTTAAGTCAGCCGGGGGAGCAAAAGGCGAAAAGTTAAACCAGAGGTGGAAACGTGGGCCAGGTTGGAATCCGTCAGATTAGCCCGGGGAGCAAAAGACAGGAAGCCAAACCATAAGGCGGAGACGCGTAAGCTAGGTTGAATTCGCCAGGTTAGCCCGGGGAACTTAGATTGAATACCGGTGGCGGAAACGTAAGCTACGCTGTGTGACTCGCGGAAGCCGCCGCGTGCAGAGAGAGCACGGGGCGTGAATAGATAGGGAACCTGGGGCTACTGCGAGGCCGTGGTGCGGGCGTGAAGGGGCGCGGAGACCGGGAGTGCGCGCGCGAAGCCGGGAAGCCGCGCAGATGAGAGAAGCGCGGGCTAAGCGGCTCAGAGCCATGAAGCAGCCTCGGGGCAAGGCACCAAGAAGCAGCCTCGGGGTGGGCGCCGGGAAGCCGCGGGGATAAGAGAAACAGAAGTTTAGAAGTAAAATGAGAGAAATAAAATGGGAGAGATAGGAATGCCCAGAGATAGAGAAATAGAGAAAAATAAGGCCTCCCCTCAACACAGTAATGAGAGAGCTTGGATTCGGTCTGCCTGATTAGTAAGACGATAAGCACCTGTGGGCGGCTGCAGGTCACCGAAGACAGGCACGTTATCAACACCAATAAGTCTCCCTACAATACGGCAATGAGAAGGCTTGGATTCGGTTTGCCTGATTGATAGGGCTTGTAAGTACCTGCAGGCAGTTCTAGCAGAGCAGAGCATGCGCTGCAGCGCACCGAACACAGGCACGCATCAGCGCCTAAAAACCTCCTCACAACATGGCAAAGAGAGGACCCGGATTCGGTTTGCCTGATTGATAGGACTTGTAAGCACCTGTGGGCAACTCTAGCAAGCAGAGCAGAGTGTGTGCCGCGGGGCACCGAAGACAGGCACGTATCAACGCCAAAAAATAAAAAGAAAGGGGGATCTGTGGGGAGCAACCCGGACTAGACTAAGTTACTGGAATTAAGACTTATTCTATACATCTGCTCTCCCACAATATGGCGCTGAGAAGGGAGAAACAGCTTCTACACAGCTGCCTCCAGTTCAACCAATAAACTGTAGGACCTACTCCTGATTGGAGGAGAGCAGCGTACTCGGCGTGTGGGTAGCAGAGTTGGGATTTGTGGAAGAGGACTATAAAGGAGGAGAGAGACAACATGCACTGGGAACATCTATCTGAAGGAACACCTGTGCAGCCCCCGAGAGAGCCGGCCGGCGGTGTGCCACTCCCCCGCAGAAGTGGGGAAAGTGGCTAGGGGGAACCGCCCTTCCACGGAGGTGGAAGGGACGGTAGCCAGCCCGGGAAGAACCAGCAGCAAACCCGGGGAGGGCCGAGCAGACAAAAGAACAGCGCAGGGTCCTGTGTCGTTCCTCCATGAAGACGGGGAGCAACAGAAGTGAAGCAGCCAGGTCTCGAACCAGTGCCCATATGGGATGCCGGCGCTGTAGGTGTGGCTTTACCCGCTCTGCCACAGACCGGCCCCAAGGCAGGGCACTTTAAGAGCAGCCACCTGAATATACTGTTGAGGATTGGGTTTCTGAGCTTAATATATTCATGGCTAAAGACACAGACAAAACATAACTACACAATGGCAATAACTGCATGAGGGTCATTATGCAGTTAATGCCCTATGGTTCTTCTGTTTCACTCTGTTTTAAGGAGGCCAGTATCCTTGTCGCTTCTGTGGTTCCTGGTACACCCTGCACTGGTTCCACTCATTCATCCTCTTCCCACTTACTCTAGAAGCCCTCACCATTTCTTCTGGCTGCATCCCCATAAGCCATAGAGCCTACATTTCCTTCAAGGTTCAATTCAAGATTCAACTGTCAAGGTATTCCACAACTCCCAAAGAGGTAGCCAACTGAAACTCAAGTAAAGCATAGGAACAGCAACCATGGAAGAACTGAAGTCATTGAGAATGGTAAAGGGTCTCAGAGCTCACAGCTCAGTGAGTTCTGATCTCCAGGGCTCTGGTTGATCCCTATGCCCCACTGGTCTTCTATTAAAACCTCCTGGCTCCATTCTTACCTCTAACCCTACATTTCCTGAAAATTGCAGTGTCCATGATCCTGGAACGCAAGTGCACAGAACTTTCCCTAAACTTGATTCTTATATTAGCAGAAAGCGCTCTGTAATCCCAGTCCTCAATTGCTGCTCCCTGATACACTCTCCTGAGGGTAGCTCTTCGGATACTGTAGTAGTCACTAATGCTGCTCTCCTAATGTTTCCTTTTTCAAAGCAAATGGTAGAATTTCACTTCTCTATCCCCTTTGAGATGTGATCATGTGGTTTACCCTGGCCAGTCAAACGTGATTAGAAATGGTATGTGTCACTTGTAGGTGGAAACAGAGACAGTGTATATTCATTTATGTTCCCAATTCCTGCGTGGTAACTATAGAGATGGAACCTCCCTCTGCCTGGGTCCCTGAGTGAGTACAAAGTGAAACAGGGCAACTCCTCCTCCCAGCTTTTTACAGCAGAAAGTACTAAGAACAATGAGATTTGGGGTCTCTGCTACCTAAGTCACTTTCAAGAAGTCTTAAAAAGAGTGAGTTAAATCTGCAACCACAATGATCAATAAAATCATAATTACTGCAGAACTCATATGCAATCAGTACAATGTGACAGCCCACTTATTTAGGCAGCCCCTGCTTTGCACAGTCCTAATATGCATTAATTTCAGCTAACACAATTTAGTTCAACAGCATTAGCCCCCCAATGGCAAAGTCACCATGCTATGTTAAGTTTAATTGCATAAAGCTCAAACTTCACTGCTAGCCCTTCAGTTTCCAAATCAAGGAGGTGCTTATCTTGATCTAAGACCATTTATAGGATTTCTTGCAGTTTGTTGCTGGGTTGACACTTGGCTTCTGCTATTCGGGTCACTCACAGACAGTTATCTGTGCTATAATGTTGCCTCCTTGTCTCCCAGGGAATTAGATAGCAGAGATGAAAGTAC